GGGAGCGCGGCTCGGGGCCGGGGAGGCGAAGCGGCGGGGCCGGGGAGGCCGCGGGGCCAGCGTGGGGCGGCGTGGCGGAGCGTCGGCCGCTCGAGGCCGGGCTCCGGCTCCGCTCCTCGCTGCTCTTCGAGCGCTCCCGGACCGGGTGGGAGCGGCCGCTGCCGGAGCCTCGGGAGGGGAAGCGGCGTGCGCTGCAGGGCGAGCCCGGGTGGGATGTGGGGGTGGGCGGGTAGGGCGGTGGGGGTTCTTCTGGTGGGATAGAAGCGGCCGTCTTTCGGACCCGGAGCCTCTGAAGTGAACTTGGAGGGGCTGCCGGGGATGTTTGCTTCGTCCCTTGCTGGCAGTAGGATTTTTTTCTCCCGTTCTTTCTTTGCTGCTGCCCCATTACAGGTGTTTTTTCTAAAGTGAGGCACGTGAAATGATGATGTCCCTTTTTCCTCGTCTTATGCCGTTTGCAAGTCTGTGTCTTGTGGATTTATGTGGTCGTTGCTGGCCTACTTGCTGAAGTCTGGCACTTATTTTACCTCTTCTGCATTTGCTCCACTTTCTTATTGAGCTTTGGTCCTGACAGTGGGTGGATGGATGAATGGATAGCTGCTGCTTGGCCTGAACTCTTAAGTGTTCTTCCAGCTGCAGCACAGGGAGCAGGGGGCTCTCCGCTTGGTTAGTGCTTGTCCTGTGCCTTGGGAGAGGTGTGCAGGGCTCAGAGCAGGCCATGGCCCACTGGGTGCTGCCAGGCAATTGTTTATAGGTATAACTTTGAATGGTAACTTGACTTTACTTTATCATTGAATTGCTCTTTGTGGCCTTGTGGCATCTCATTGCTTTAGTATAAAGTTGGCATATGAGTTATTATTCCTAGAATGAACTGTTCTTAAAATAAATAATGCCTTAGAGATCTAGTTGGTTACTCTTCATTGTGTGGGCTTGGGAAGTTGGATGTCAGATATTTTTGTTTCTCTTTGAAGTACTGAGTTCTGTTTTTTGTTGCTGAATGTTGATGTTAATTTACTGCGTGGACTCAATTCCTGTCTTGTTTCAAAGCGTGGCCCTTCTATGCTTCTTGTTTCTTTCAAATTTCGAGTTGCTCTATGTGAACAGCATGTTTGTTGTTTTCCAAAGGGGAAAAAAAAAAAAAAGAATATGTAGCCAAACAGATTTGAGTATTACCAAAATCCAGAAGAAACCCATTAAAGCCTTAAAAAAATAAAAGCGAAAAGCCCAACATGCCGATGTGTCTGATGCTAAATAAAGAAGTCCTTGGGTTGTGTACACACTGAAGTGATTTTATGTGACCTTAAGTTTCCGCTCTGCAAATGGATCCCTTTGTTTTAGTTTTTTTTTCCCCTTAAATTTTGGAAGTAGAGTTCTGGAAGATACAGAAATGCATGAAGATTTTGCTGCTGTATTTGACCCATTGGCCTCCTCCCAGTAAAGGGCAGGGAGGCTGCAGGCGGTGCTCAGGTGTAGGGCTGGCTGTGGTGGCTGTGCTCGTGGGAGAACATGGGAGACCACGTAGCGGCTGTGTGGCTTTCACCTGTCTCTGGATCTGAAGCACATGTTGTGGCTGGAAACGTTCATCCTAGTGACTGCTGGTGTTTTACTCTAAGTGTAATAGACTGATAGCATGGTGCAACAGCAAGCAGGAGAATGGGGGGAGAAGAGGACAAGCTGTTGCATACGAAGCGTGTGCTAGAGCAGCAGTGCTGCTGCCAGATCCCATTTGGCAACTTTCCCCTAAGAGTGCTACCTATGCTGACTGAGTGCCAGCTGAATGGTTGTGCTTTTTCCAGACACATTGCACAAGTAATGACACCTCACTCCCAAATAGCTTTTTTTCTTTTGAATTAATAACTTTGGTTGTATTTGTTGTGGTTGTGCTTTCTTTTTTAATTTTTATCTTCCTAACAACTTCCCTGGCTGGTTTTCTGGGGTCGCTGAGACTGGGCTGTTTGGAAAGCCTCTTGTAGCTGCTGCCTTGCATGGCAGGAGGGTTGGAGATTCATGATCCTTGAGGTCCCTTCCAACTTGGGCCATTCTGTGATTCTGTGTGATTCTGTGATTTGCCCATCCAACAGGGCAGACCTTGGGCAGAGTTGCAGATTTCTGTCATTATTAAAAATAATAATAAAAACGCTTCTAGAGTTCATTTATGAAGATCAGCTGTGAGCGTATACCAAGCGATGTCAGCGTTGGCTCCCTGCATCTGGGCTGAGATTTGTTTGGCACTCTTAAATATTAACTTTCACATTCATTTTTTTCTCAGCTAAGAAAGGTGTGCAGCTGTTTAAGTGGTTTGAGCAACTGAGGTACTCGTGTATGAAAATCAAGTAATTGTGCGTGCTAGATTCCATTAAACAAAGGCCAGCCTGGTGTTTCTCCTTTCCTCAAAATTAGGCCAGTAAGCAGTAGTAGTTTTTACTGACTGCAGGCATAGCTACAAGTCTTACTTTTGGCACTGGGAGCACTGAAATGCCATAAATTTCAGAACTCTTTCCAAAATCCAGGGCTGGAAAAGTTTGGATTTAAACTAAAATTGTTGTTTTATACAGTGAACTGATTGACCATTGGAATGAGCAGTCTGAAGATAGTGGGGAGCCTCTGTGTTGGATTCTGCCATTCAAGGCCAGAAACTTTTTTTCTGAAGGATGCTCGAGCCTTTGGCTCAATTCAGAAGTAACAAAGTGGGAACTTTATGACTTGCGTTACATGAGGTTCAGACAGGATGACCCAGTGGGCTTTCTGACTTCTGCGTTTTATGTGTTTATGCTACCAGAGCCAAGATGCCTTCTCCACTTTGTGTGCCCTGCCACGCCATCCCAGCTGTAGGCAGCACGTGGTCAGGTGTGTGGCTGAGCAGCTCCACTGGCTCATCTCCCTCCTGCCTCTGCCAGTGTGGGCGCATCCCCTCCTCAGAGCTTTGGCACTCTTCCAGCCCATCCCCAGGCTGTTTCGTCTCACTAAGCCGGCAGGAAACTATCTTGTTTTAATTGTGTTTTATTCTGGCTGCATTAGCCATTTTATGGGTTCCTGTGGTTGAATCTGCTCGCAGCGAGGCCTGACTAGCTCGAGGCTGGTGTCAGATGATCAGCAGGAGAATAAGAGTGAGAGGGAATATGGGCCTGCCTCCTTCTGGCCTCTGAGAGCTATTGGGCTGGTTAACCCTGCTGTGTCTAGGTTCACCCCAGGGTATTTTCTTATGGCTCCTACGCTGAGATGGAAGACTGGGCTTGAGGGTTCTGGATCTCTTAACTCTGCTCCTTGATGCTGAATCTGCTCTTCTGCTGCGACTTGCCAATCTTTTGTTGTATGCATCTCTGCTGTTGCTGCTTGTTTTAATATTTGTCGTTTTTCTCTTCTGCGTTTATTGTAAGTGACCAGTCCTTTACCTAGCAGAGCTTCTTCCAACTTCAGCTTAGCTCTTGTTGTCGATCCTCACTTACTCTTGGAGAAGGTTTAAAAATACCCAGCAAAACCTGTCTTAAGAGACCAGTCGAGGAGGTGACGAAAGTGGGTTGCCTGGCAGAGGTGGCCTAATAAAATCAAAGTGGAATTGTACTGTGTGTCTTTGGGAGCACTTCTGGGTGGTCTGCGTGGTGCGGGTATCCCCGTGTCACCCCACCTGCCAAGGTGGGTTGGTTTTCCAGCCTCATAGGCTGTGGTGTCCTTAGGAAGGACTTCCCTTTGCCTCAAATCACCCAAACCATTGCATCTCTCACTCTGAGAGATTCTGGTGCTTTGACGTGACTCAGGCCTTTGCCATGGCAGCTGAGGAATGCAGCAGGAAGAGCGAGCTGAAGGAATGGCAGAGAACTTTCTTAATCCAGAAGTGCCCTCCATCTCGTTATCAGCCCTTCTGTGTTCACTTGCTTCTCCTGTAATGCTCAGGCAGGGTGATGCGATGAGCAGGTTGGTTTTAATTCAACCACTGAGGTGTGCATCTCTCTCAGATGAGTAGTTTGCCCTGGAACCCTCATTCTTTGCTGTTATCCTCCTGCACTGCATCACATGTAGGTTTAGACTGTAAGTTCTTGAGAACAGGGACCTCTGTGTGCACAGTGGGCAGAGTCTGGGCACAGTTCTGCAAAGCAGGATGATTAATACCAAGTTGTAGCTATTGATGGGTAATGCTGGGACAACACAGAGCATCCCGAGCGCTCTGGGAAAGTGACGTTATGAGTTTTCTGAAACATGGGTTTGGTTGTCCAGCAGTGCTGCAGACAAACCCAGCCAGAAATGGAGCGCTGTAATGAAAGTATGCTGGAGTGATGGTCAAGGGATGATGTTGTGAGGTTAACACGTTAAGGAAGAGAACTTACCTGTCTACAATCGTGTTACATAATTAAAATGGTTGTAAAAGCTTTGTGTTTTGTTGTTTGTATTACTGTATGTATTGTATTTTATTTTTTTGTGAGTTTGGACAGCAGTGGATAAGCTGAGCTGGTTTTGTGCTTGAGCCTTCTTTCCTGTCTCCCAGGCTAGCCAGGTGGTGTCATTTTTTGGACTCCAGTCCCTCCAATGAAATATTTTCTCTTAGGTTAATGCTGTTGTTTTTTATAAAGTTCTCTCTATTGTTCTTCAGTTACATCTTCATGCAGCTGAAATATGGTCTCACAGTTGACCTCTGAGTACACATTTGAGCAGCTCCCAAATTGGAAGTCCTGCTTTTTTTCTTTTTATCATACTCTGTTCCAGGAGTTGCTAAACGTATGCAATGTTATTCTACAAAATACATCTTTATAGCTGTGTCTTTTTATCCTTTATATTTATGAACATAAGTCAGCAATAAAAGACGAGTCTGACTTGCATCTTGGACTGCTTTTGGTTGCTCTAGCCTTGAGTTCAGCTGTCTGCCAGAGAGCAGCAGTTGTAGTTGCCTGTGCCTAGGCTTTGCTCGGGAAATAAACTGGCCCATATTACTCCCAAAGCTTCCTTGCTTACTTTTCTTTCTTATTTTTCCAATTTTTGTTTGCATTGGTCTCTAGTTCTTTCTAAATTTGTATTATATATGTATACATATACATATATATATATATGCTGTGGTAAAATCATTTTACATTTAGCATGTAAGTGGAGGCTTTCTAAAATACATCCTTTAAGGTTGGTGGGGCAACCCAAGCACAGTTTGTCTTTTCCCCTCTTTTGTCTCCAACTACGGTGGGGGATATTTTGGGGTTAGAAGCAAGGAGAGATGTCTTCTTTTGCTGCCAGGATTTTAATTAGATTTAGTTGTAAGAAAAAATTAATGTTCATTGCAGAGAGCCTGTTGAGCTCAAGTTCCCAGGCTTGAGGTTCATTGCTATCTCACCGTTGGTGGATAGGTGTTACACAGCACCTAATGCTAACGTTATCTTCAGCTGAAACCCACCAGACACGGCCCTTTCCTGTGTTATTGGGTGTTGCAACTGTAACATGCTGTCACGTTTTCCTAGGGCTGTGTACAATCTGTCAAAACAATTCCTGCAGTCCAGCTGCAGCTCACAGTCCCCTTATATTTCATACATATCTGCAAGGAATTGGAGCTGTGTGATATGAAATAGTAACCCAGTAGGATTGGATGCCAGATGTGGCAGTTTGCACTATCTGAGATGATAATCTCACCCTCTGTGCATGAGAAGTATAGGCGTGCTTTTTTGCTTAGGTGTGGAAATGGGATCATGCAACCTGGATTTATGTGCGCAGAGCAGGGTTTCTGGTTTCTGAAGCTGCACTGCTTGGGTTGTTGCCTGTTTAGAGGGGGGAGAAATAAGGGATAATTACTCGTGCCTCGCATCGTCACAGCAGTTATAAATGCTTTACATGACTTCTAATAAAGCATGTTTGCTCAACAGCTATCTTGTGCTCGGAGGCACTCTGACCTTCCCAGAGAAGATGATGTAAGGTCTTCCCAGGGCACCAGGAGCATGGCTGGGTAAACAGGCAGTTAAAACTTCATTTGGCTCTGAGTGCAGGCTGTGCAGCAGGGTTGCTCCTGTTCATATGCTGTCTGCGTAGGGCAGTCGGCACGGAATGCTCCACCTGCACACCTTGCTCAGTGCTCAGCTCCCTCTCAGATGGGCACGGAGTGCCTGGGAAGGTGTTGGTTGGCTCTCCATGTCAGCTGTTTGACAGTGCCCGTGCATTGCAGGCTGGCCTGAAGATTCACACTGCACGTGTTCGATGCCCTGCCCATGCTGGTGAAGATGCATGAGGGAAGTGCTGATTTTGCTGTGTAGGTGGATAGCGTGGTGTGCTTTATTGCCTGTGCTTGATATAGGGGTTGGAGCCTGCCTGCCTCCCCCATCCCAACTGTATATTTTGCTTTATGCAGCAGGCTACAGGCCGGGTTTTGCCATGACTAACTTACACGCTGCTGTATTCTGAGATGTTACATTGCAGTGATGGACCTTCAGATTCATAGCTGAAGGCCTGAAAATTTCAAGCACGTACACCTTAAGTATCTCTTATTTGAGGCGGTTAGAAGTGAATGTGACTAACTGCTATTGTGCATTAATGCATTTATTAATGACGGTAAAAGCTGTAGATGGAAAAGCAATAGGTCGGGCTTGAGCCCCTTTGGGATAAATACAACGTTGGTCTTGTGGGGAAACTATTATGCTTTTGTAACTTGAGTTTTCAGTTTTCTGAGTACCTGCTGCTTGGCACACCACTAACACAGCGAGCAGCCCCCCAGAATGTGGAAGATCTGAAGCGTGGCAGTGCTCACACTGTGGGCTTGCAGTGTGGGCAGTGCTGGGAGCCCCGCAGCACCTCTGCTTCCCAGCTGTGCTGTGCCTGGTGCTGCTCTGGCCCCGGCCCTGTAAGGGGAGGTTGCAGAGCGCATGTTTACCCGAAGCACACAACCTGCTCAGCTGCAATTATCTCCTAATCTGGTCCTTCCGAGTTTCTCTGGTCTCGCAGGTAAATACAGATTTAGCTGCTATTCAAGGCGTATTATTTACCTCATTAAGTGTGTGTTTTGGCACGTGCATTATTTACCTGATGGACTAACGGATGGGAAAGAGCAAATGCTGTCTTTTGTGCAAATAGTGCATTTGTGCGCAGGCTGCGAGCTCCATTTCCCGTTCCGTGCATTGAGTACACGTGGCTGGGTGGGACCTCAGGCTGTGCCCAGAGCCAGTGCCCCGTGTCCTCGACCCCACAGAGGCTGTGCTGTGTGTGGGGGATGATGTGGCTGCCGTCAGCCAGCAGAGCTGGAGGGGTGCCCGTGTGCTGGCTTAGCGGGGTGGACTGGTGGCATTGTCACGGTCAGTTCCTCTGTCCTGGATCTGTAGGAGCAGGGAGGTCTCGGTGTGACTGATAGGCTGCTTTGAGGGGTCATGGTGCTGAGGTGTGCTTGCTGCCTTCAGTTCCTGCTGTGTATTAGAAGTTGTGTTGTATACAAAAAGGCAAAAGCCTCCTTGGATATTTCAGTGGGTTTTGGATTGAGCTTCTCAAGCATTAATAGTTTGCGTTGTGCTGTGATAAGGCTCAGCAGGTTTGTGTGATGTGGTGCCTGGAGCCACGGCTGTTGTTTTGTCTGTGACTTCTCATTTAGAGCTGTTTGCAGAGGGTTGATCTCGAGGTGTATGTGGTTCGGGCTACCTTGAGCTCCATCCATAGTGCTTAGTGCAGGCTGCTGTGCTGCTTCTAGTTGGCAGTGCTGGAAGCCACACGGGGAAGCACAAGGAAAACCCCTGGCAGAGTGCGATGGAGCGGTGCTGACAGCGCTGAGATGTGAGCGCGTGAGTAACACGAATCTCTCTTCAGTTTCAGATGCCTCTGGATGTTCAATGATAGCACTCCTCCATACTGGAGCAGCAAAGTTTCCCCAACACTTTCTTCCAAGGGCGAGACAAGCTGTGTGCCTGCTCCTCCCTGCTGCTCTTCTCAAAGGGTACGGCTCCATCATAAGCAGGAAACTGGCGTCCCACGGCTTTGGAGCTTCCATGGCAGCAATGTCATCCTTCCCTCCACAGAGATATCACTACTTCTTAGTGCTGGATTTTGAGGCCACATGTGATAAACCACAGATTCATCCTCAGGTAAATAGTTGACGCTGTTAATTCTGTGCTTGTAAGCTGATACTGCCATTCTGAGAGATGGAAAGAAAAGATGCAGTTCTGAATAGCTCACTTTCCTTGTTTTCTCCCACCTTCTTTCTACTGCTGCTCCCCCAGAGCTCCTGCTTTCTCAAGCAGCAGTGCCAGGTCGCTGTGATGGAAATGAAATGAAGGAGCCTGATTTTCACCATGGAAGTGATAACACGTGTTATCACAGACGCTACTTAGTCATGTATGCTTGTTGTCTGCCTGAAGTGGTGGGGGGTTGAAAATTGCTGACTGGGAACCTGCATTAGTAGAGTGCTCTCAGCAACCTTTGATTCTGTAAGGAAAAGGTCTATTATTAGCCAATGGTTTATTTAAAAAAAAAAAAAAAAAAAAAAAAAGCAAAACACAATTTGGATGATGTGTGTGCGCAGAGTAATGGTGTTTCTAAACAGAGAACAATGGTTTTGAGCTGTGTGGTGGTGCTGAAATTGTCTTGCCTGGGTGTTCACTCTGGAGTGTAATGAGACAGGAACAGAGCTGCTCAGAAAGGTTTGCCAGTGTCTGGCCTCCTGAGATACGCAGAGATCTGGGTGAGGTTTGGATGTATTTCTGCAGCCAGTTCTTCCGTCATAGAGTAGAGTAAGTTAGTTAAATATATGTTCAATTATCAGCAGTGTGGGCCTAGGTTTTCTGCTTAAATGGGAAAAACATGCCAAAAAAGAAGAGATAAAATATCGGGCTGGTAATGGACAGAATTTCTTAGTGTCCAGGCTGAACTCAGACTTTGTACCCTCCTCTGTACCAAAAAGTAATACTACTCGTACTGATACTAATACTAATGCTACTGCTAATTCGTGCATCAGGTCTGAGATTTACTTTGATTTGCTTTGCTTCAAACATACTAAATCAGTGTGGCATCTCTTTACTGAGATGGTTTGGTGCAATGGGTTTGCTTCCCAGTGCAGCTGTGGCTTCCTTTGAGCTTATCTACCAAAGGAGGGCTGCGAGTTGGGATCAGATGTAGGCATCTCAAGTGCCACCCATCCCTCCTGTTTCATGACAAAAAGGACTGCACATTCTCTCCTTGTATTCTGGGTCTTTGTGGGAGGCTGTTGTGGCTCTGCATCCCGCTCTGCTGGCGGTTGTAACCGCTCTCCAAGTGAGATGTAAGGCTATTTCCTGCACGCTCAGCCTCGGGTGCACAGATCTGTCAAGGCTGTAAATTGGATCTACCTTGTCCCTTTGGATATGGGCTTGGTCCGTGCACATTTTGATGCAAAACCATGATGCATGTGGAGCTAGTTTACAGCTGGCAGTAAAAAGGAGCATGAGTGGAATATGATTACTACTGTTTTAAGGAGCTTTGTCCCCAAGTCCTTGCCAGAGAAAGTAATGGCCTGGGCCAATGCAGATCCGCTATATATTTTGTTGCACCTTTAAGGTGGAGATGTTCTTCAGCGTTGTTTCTTCTGTCTGCTCTGTTCTGTGCCTGTCTGCATCATATCTTGTGTGCTGTAAGGGCTGTCAGGCCCTCACGTCCTCACAAACAAATGAGTTTGACAAATAAATAATGCTCTTACTGCATAGGAATCGGTGTCACTGAAAAGGCTGAATTTGCCTGCTGGAATTGGGCAGCTTTACAGAAAAGAGCCTTTATTAGCTGATGCCCCTACCTGTGTTTCACCTTTTTGCTTACTGATGTGGCTGTTGCTCTGATCATTGCAGGGCTACATGTCTGGGTGAGCAAACGGCGCTGTGTATATCAATGATGTTGATTTTTGTGCAAGGTGTTCCTGGCTGTATTTTCCAGTGAAGCAGTGGCACACAGGTTTTGGAGATGCAGTATGAGAGCGGACCTGGGAGTGGTCAGGTTCTGATCTTAGCTGTGATCCTCGTGGTTCTTCTGCTTTTGTTTCCTTACTCGCAAAATAGAAGCGTGGTAAGTGATACATTGAAATCCAAATGCTCTAGAATTTGATGAGGAGGCTGCATAAAGAGCTAAGCCGTGATCCAAGTTACATTCAGTGGGTAGTCATAGCTGTAAATTTAGCCAGCTCAGCCTGGAAGTCTGGCAGAGCACACTTGTACTGTGCGGTACACTTCACATTTCTCACTGACTACTCTTCAAAACATCCCAGCTCCTTAGCAGCAGGAGCTATCTTTTTCTCTATGCCAAGGTATGTACTGCCACGTCTGTTCCCCCTTCCTCTGTATTTACTTATATGTGCTCCTCTGCAGCTGACAGCCTCGCCTCACTTCTCACTCAGAGCTCCTGCGTTTCCATCCTCTTTCATGCTGTCTGGTCCCCTCCAAGGTTCTGTGGCACAGCATCTGTAAAGGGGATCAAGGAGAGTCAAGGACAACAGTGTTCCCCTGGGAAGCCATCTGTGGTGTGACTGCTGGCTATGTGGCAGCTGCCCTGTGCTTCACCACTTCTGTGGTCTCTGCCCTTTGTCTGCAGAGGAGAGGTGCTCTCAGGGCTGGTGGCACAGAGCATGCCAATCAGCCTGCATCCTTGTCATCTCCCTGTCTTGATAGCTTTCAGCAGATATGCCCCCAAATCAAAGTGCATGTTTAAATGCACAAAAGGGCAGGTTGGCTTACAGATTTATTTATGAATGATGAGACCATCCCAGACAGAAAAGAAGGTGGAGAGTTTATCTGCATTGCCCCAGATGAATAAGTGGGAAAAGTGGAAGAATAGAGGCACAGCCTGTGTCATGTAGTGTTTTAACCAGCCAAAGGTCAGCAAGGGGCTGGCAGTAAGAGATGTTTATGGCTGCTCCCTTGCATCTCTTCAAAGCTTACCTCGTGTTTGGAACTTGATCCAGTGCCTAGCAGTGTCAAGCAGGAGTTGGACCTGCAGCAGTGGCAGCTTGCTTCATCCGTCAGCTTCAGCTCTGCTGCTTTCTCTTTCTCCTGCTGTCTAACAGTTTAACAGTTTAAGTGCCTGTTTTTGTACACTGTCAGCTCGTAAGGGTAGGTACGTATGGTACTTTAGATACACAAGTGAAGATGCACAAATAAGTGGGAGGCTTGCTCCTCTGTTCCTTTGTCCTCGCATGCAGCTGTTTATCTTGGCCCCTGCTTTCAGTGCTGTGTTGAGGAGCTGCCCAGGCTCAGATCTGCAGCTGCCTGTACCCTTGTGCTGGCAGTGCCCTGAGGAGCTGTGTCCCATTCACTCAGCAAGCCCTGCAGCTTGTCTTCAGCTTCTGCCAAGTGGATGAAAAGTGATGATTTTCTTAAAGGTTTAAAAAAAAAAAAAAAAAGTCTGACAGAATCATAGAAATCAGAGCTTTTCATACCTAAATTTGAATTTAGGCCCCTACGTGGGATGTCAGCCTCTACTGTAATACATAGAAACACTTTCATGAAAAATGAATTTTTTTTTTTAAGCTTGTGTGCCTGCTGCCAGGTGGTGCAGAAGGGCATCAGGCCCTGCCCTGGGGGAAGTTGCTGGGGGTAGAAGCTGTTCCACTGCTGAATGAACTTTTGGCAGTGGTGAAGGTACTGTTGGTTCAGGTCGGGTTTTCAAGTATTTGACTTCATGTCTTGGGTTCACTCAGATTTGCTGATCAGCTGGGAATTAGAAATGCCCCCCTCCCTCTCTCTCTGAAGGTATGACATGGACAGATCTCTGCTAAAGGAGGCTGTGACCAGAGGCAGAGAAATAAATGAATTGCAGATGATAACCTTCCTCGCTCACTTAAACAGCATGGTTTAAATACAAAAACATTGAGTAGTTTTCTTTAGTGTATCTTATTTGTTTCAAGTTCCTTTAATGTTTGACTCTTTGTGCGTGTGCTTTTAATTAAAAATGTCAAGCGAAACTGGACACACCTGTTAATAAATACAGAGTGTTGCTCACCATTTTAACATAAACTGCAATCATCGAGACTACGAATATGCAGATGTTCAGTTACTAATTTATCTTTAAGTGTACAAATAAGGTATGATTGCAACACAAAACCACGTGAACAAATGAGAGCCAGTCTTTCTTTCAGGTGATTTACAAAGGGCAGAGTAGGACTTCCAGAGGTGGCTCACGAGGCAGCTGGTTGCTCCCATCCCCTGGAAGGGCTGATAATGGAGATGTGTTGGTCTCTGCCTGTTCTACCTGGGTATCCCCCTGCAGCAACTTTCTGCTAGCACGGTTCTTGTGTAGCTGTTAAGCTCAGTGCGTTAGAAATCACCTGCCAAAACCTGTATTGAGGTTGATGGCAAATTGCTGAAAAGTGAAGAAATTCAGCCTTGTTTCCCATGGCAACTTTAACTCAGCACTCTCGTGTATAAGTATTACAGTGGCATATTAATCTGCAATTACCTGTCTTCATGCAGCTTAGGCTTGGGTGTACTTTTAAATACATAGTCCTCAATTCAGCTGTTACAGTGTTATTTCTAGAGGAATGCCATTAAAGATGCACGTAACACAATCGCTTCAAATCTTTTCTTTTTTTACTAAAGTAAGTAAAAAAATATGTATTTATCATCTCTTTGCCAATTATGGCTTACTTTGTACCCTTTATATAATGAAGCTACATGGCTGTTGGTACGCCATTCTTCTTATGTTGTAGTGCTTTAAGTTCTCAGAGCATTGGGAAATAGTTCATAGAAAAGCTGTTTTAGATGGCTTTTCTGTTCACATTAATTTTTCAAGCAGTTGTTTGAAGAAACTTTTGGAGGCCTTGTAGCTGCCTCATCTGAGCCGTTACACGTTCTGCTAAGAGCACATAAATATCCCTAACTCAATGTGCATCTGAAATTAAAGAGATGCAGTTCCTTTTTATCATATTTTCCATACGTCGTGTGCCTCATTGCAGTTCCACTGGACTGTTGTGAAATCTTATTTTGGCCACTATTGAGAATGATGTCTTTATTTTAAAGGACGTGGGGGTCGGAGGAGGGCAGACAGGGTTCTGGTATGGGTCTGCGACCCACAAAAGCTGCGTTCTGTGGGGCAGCCATCCTGCCTTGGAGACCTCCCTCACTCCTGC